ATAGTGACCGTCACAGCAGCGCATTTATCTATGATCGTTGCGCAGAGCACCCCATTGGTAGCTACCTGTCTGTTAACAGGCTGCGCCAACTGGGTCACACAATGCGCATGGCCCACACTCGTCTGCCCAAATTGGCGCTTTGGAGCGCCGCCCCCGGCCCGCGCACTGTGGGGCGGCCGCGCGTGTCATGGTTTGACGTAGCGAGGCGAGACTGTGCTGCCATAGGGATCGATGTCCCCTTTCACCTAGACGATCGCTGCTCTAACCGCCCCGCTTGGAAGATGGCTTGCGTATCTCTCCTGCCAAGGAGGCGTGCGCCCTTTTACTAATTCCCGACTTGGCCGCACCCGCTTTCTCCTCTGGCCTTTACAGTTAGGGGCGTTACCCCTTTGGGGAGCCAGGGTTTTCCCCTCGCGCCGGAAAAACGTGATGTAATGTAATGTAATGTAATGTAATGTAATGTAATGTAATGTAATGTAATGTAATGTAATGTAATGTAATGTAATGTGGCGCTGGGCAGCGCGGGAATGGGCAGGGCCGAGCAGCCGGCAAACACCAAACCAGCTGCTGAGGGGAGTGGGCCAGGCTTTGTTGTGAGGGTCGTGCCAGCAAAGCCTGGCGTGCGCCACCATGAAGCACGAGACCGGTCGCAGGTGCACAATCTTGACCTTAGACATGTCAATGCTGGGAGGGCTGCAGAGAGGGCAAGGCCAGAATGGGTGACCAGGTTGGGCCAGACGCTGGGGGGAGGCATCAGGTTCAGGCAGCCGTTGCGGCCTCACGAGGGCTCGCCTGCCCACCAGCGCCCCGCGCGGCGCCACGCCGGCGGCAGCGCACGCACGCTCGCATTAAGGCGAAGCGGCTGGCGCCGCGGCTCGCGACGCTGGCGGCCGCGCGGCGCAGCAGCGGCGGGGGCGCAAGCGTGAGCGCTCACCCTGCGGGCGTGAGCAGGAGCTTCGCGGTCCCGCGCTGCCCGGTGCGGTATCCGGCGACCGCCACGCGCCCGGACGCCCGCGCAAGGCCGGGCAGCTGCGGGGGCGCCGGGCTCCAGGCGCTGACGAGCGTGAGGAAGTCGCGGCCGAAAGCGGTGATGGCGTATGCGGCCTCGCCGCGCCAGAGCGCCGGGTGGGGGCGGTCGGGCGGGGGCCAGTTGGTGCGCGGGGTCGGCAGTGAGTCGGCGCCGACGCGGTGCGCGCCGGCGAGTTCCCGCCCCTGAGGTGGCGGTTTTGGCGCATGTGCGTGAGCATGTCTCACGTGGAGGCACATGGCTTGGTATGTGCGTGAGCGTGTATGCATGTGTGCGATTATAAAGGCGTGCATACATGTGTATGGATGCATGTTTTTTTTCTCATGTGTATGCTGTCGTCAGCATGGGGTGGTGGTGTGTGTGTTGGCGTGGAGGGACATGAACATGGCAGCCGAGGCGCCCAGGGCTGCTGTAATCTCTTAATAATCCGCGCCGCCTTGCTAAGCCCATCGACCAAGCGCCAGTACCGGCGCGCGCATGCGCACGCCCACATGCGCCTGCACGCGGGTGCACAGGCCCGCAAACGTGCACCTGCACGTCGCTGACCAGGCAGCCGCCACGCGCCCGCAAGACTGGTGCCGGCACTCACGAGCTCGTCTCGCAGTGACACCGCGACGCCAGCGCCACCCGTCGTGCGCGACACCTCGACCCGCAGCCCTGCTGGGGCGCTGAGCGCGACCGCGCCCCCCGAACCGTCGAAGCTGCACAGCCGCAGCGGCAGCGTCTGGAGGGTGCCTCCGATGGCGGCGGCGCGCCTCTCATTGCCGGAGCTCAGGTTTGTGGCTGCGAGCACGTTGCCCAGCATGGCAACTCCCGGCCGCCAGGGGCTATTCCCGAGCCCTAGCAGGACAGGCCACCGCGCATAAGCGGCCGCAGCCCCGGCGAGCCTCTCCGACCCTGGCGCCAGCCGCCGCATCGCGCCGGCGCGGGCGAGCTGGTGCGACCCCGCGTGTTGGGCCGCCCACGCGGCCTGGGTGGCGGCCCAGCCGATGGACAGGGCGCTGCCTGGGGAGGTGTCCTGGACGCTGTCGTCGTGGGGCACCAAGAAGCCCAGGGTGGCGGCGCAGCAGGCGGCGTACTCCGCGTGGCACGCCTGGAGTGCGCGAGCGAGCGGCGGGCGCCGCAGCAAGGAGGGCAAGCGTACAAAATAAAGCAGGCACGAACTTGGGATCGGAGTTTGGTCAGGCATGGGGAAAACAGGGTGTACGGCTTGGGGTTTTGGGTTTTGGGTTCGCCCCCTCACGGGAGGGGGCGTGATGGGCGGGGCTCTTCAAGGGATGGCAACTGCTCACAGGGGAGGTCTGCGAGGCGTGTCAGTCATGGGCGCGGCCAAGGGACGCCCCAATGGGAGGAGGTTTGCAGTCCAGGGTGCAGGCTCATTAGCCGCACCATGTGGGCGTGCCAGACCAGGTCAATATCGTACGGCGGCACGATGAACAGCACCGGGTCACGCGCCTGGCAGGAGAGAAAGGAGGAGGTGGTGAGACCCGCTGATGGGACGGTTGGTTGACGGGATAGCGGGGAGGGGGCACTGGGAGGGCGGGCGCGAGCAGGGCAGGGGCGTGCAGCCACCCCTGCCGGCTGCGTCATCGCCCGTGCCGCGTACTGCCTGCCAAAGCGGGCTCCGGCCCCGCGAAACAGTCAGTGCTGTCTGGTGTCTCGCCTTGAGGCCGAGGAAGAGGGCGTAGCGCTCAACCGCCGCAGCCAAAAAGGCAAGCTTCTTGTAGTGTGGGAGGGCCACCTGCCGGGGTGTTGGGTGTTTGGTTGAATCTACGGTTGGATCCACGCACACAGCTGGCAACAAGCGGGCGGTATCGATATCAAATTCCTGGTGGCAGCGCACGCATACAGAATGAAGGCCCTCAACTGCCCAAGGTAGGCACTGCCTGCCAGCAAAGTCCGGCGGCCCAGCCCGGGCTGATGCGCCAAAACGTCATGCAGGGCCCAAGGGCGGCGGGGGTGCGCGCCTGGAAGAAGAAGGCGGCCTGGCGGGCGGCCGCAGACACCAGGTCGTACGACAGCTGGCTGAACTCGGTCTGTGGCGGCGGCCGTCCCATTTTCGAGGAGGCTGACGCAGCCTCCACCGCCGCCGCGTCGCGTGCGCTGTCCCCGCTTTCTTCCAGCGGAGACGTCGCCGCGCTGCGCTCCCTGCAGGCGCTGGTCTCGGGCCGTGCGTCAGAAGGCTGCTCGGTCATACCCGCAGCTGGGGCGAGGGCAGGGGCCGGGGCTGGGGCCGGGCCCGCGCGCGCCGCCGGCGCTGTCCTGTCGAAAGGCACACCCGGGAACTCCACCGCCCACAGCCGTGCAGTGTGGCGCAGCGCTGAAGCACTGCGGTCCGTGGGACACAGGCCGGGCCAGGGCGCGCAGCCGACGACCAGCCCAAAGTCCTGGCGATCATAGCCGGTCACGTGTCAGGGCTGGATGCGGCGCTCTTTTATTGCTGGACAGCTGGGGCTTGCGTGCTCGGTGGCTGGCCGCCACCGGTTGCAGCTTAATACTCTGTCTAGCATGTTGCCTTTGCAGGGAAGGCGGCTGCGGTGGCGCGCCATGCTTGTTTGCAGCGGCCGTTGGCAGGGGACGCCGTGCCTGGTTGCAGGGGCCGGTGACGAGGTGGGCTGGGAGCGCCGCACCAACGCCCACCTGTGCATAGTGCGTGGGCCCCAGCGTGTGCACGAGCCACACCCATGCGACATCCAGCGGCGCCGCAAGCCTGCCCGAGCGCCGCCCGCCGCGCCCGTGCCTGGCCAGCAGTGGCAGCCAGTAGCGCTCGTAGCGCTCGGCGGCGGCGGCGACCACAGCAGCCGTGTAGAGTTCGGGACAGTCATCCACCTGCATGCAGGTGTCAACAGAGGGTCATGCGAGGTGTCTGCACAATCAACCGGCTGGGTGCAGCTAGCAGTGGGGCTCGGCTTACGGCGGAAGGTGTGTAGATTGGGCTGGCACAACAGGGCAAGACTGGGAATTGTGCTGCTGGAGGGCACGTCGCATGCAGTGCATGTGAGAACACCCCCCTCGTTTGGGCGGCGCGCACCTCCCTCAGGAACTTGACCAGCTGACTTGCATCCCCCGCCAGGCCAGGTGGCAACCGCGGCTGCATGGGCAGCCAGACACGCTGCGCGAAAGCGGACACGGGCCAGCAAAGGAGGTGTTGCGGCGGTTTTGGGGGGCTTGTGCAGTGCGGCATCATCGGGTGAAGAGGAGCCGCATGGGTTTGAAGTGAGCTAGCTTAGCCAATGGCATCCAGGGAGTAACATGCATGCACGCACCCGGCTCTCAGGCTCGTTTGCCTCGGTCTGGACCCAGGCCCTGCCGGCATGAAAGCGGTAGGTGAGCTGGTAACTTTTGTATTTGCTCTTCACGCGGCGCTTTATCCCTGGGGCTCTGGTTTGGCGGGATGGCTACGCAAATGGTGAGCTACCGACGCTGAAACCTTACTCATGACAAATTCGCTGCCCGCGGAGAAGTGCCTATCAAGACAGCAACTGTATGCGGAGCCTGACATCATACGGGCAACCCGACTGCCATTTGTCCTGAGGGTGTTGCTGCCGACGGCAACGCACCAAAGAAGAGCCAGCACAACCACGGACGGGCATCTTGTACCGCCAGCTCACTACGGTACTCTCTGGCCGCTATCATCAGCTGCTCCTGCCTGGTGAGTGCTCTTTGCACTAAACGATATGACCACCGCTTCACACTTGCAGCCGCCCAACCGACAAGCTGTACTGTACCACAGCAGCAAGTGCACGATGCAGGTCGGGCGCAGCATCAGCGGCAGACACCTACGTGCACCCACGCACCCGCATGCCCCTCTCCCTACCCCCGCCGCTCAAGATGCTCTCCAACCAACCGTTTTGCCCTGCTGTGACTCGCAAATAGCACACAAGATGGGAAAGCGATTTTTCAGAACCACCCCAGCACCCTGTATGTGTCGGCCCTGGGACACACACACGTGCCTCTCGAGACGCAAGGATTTGCCGCCGCCGGAGAAGACATTTATCCCTGAAACACCCGTTTCCAGACGGTTTTGTCGCGCCTCAGGTTCCACCTGCGCCGCAACATCACCGCCAGCAGCCACCGTCGGCGGTGCCTTCATTGCGCGCTGGTGCTGCATGCCCTGGTAACGAGGCGCGTGACATGTCATCAGCCCGTGCGAAGGTGCCCCCCACCCTTTCAGCCCCTTGTGGGGGCGCGGGGCTCGCTGCTTCAAGGCCGCAATCCTGTATTGCAGGCAAAAAGCGCATACCGCATTGTCGATTACAACAGGCTTTTCTGCTCAACCAGGATTGGGTCAACTGATGAGTTGACTGCTGTGGTGGCGGATGCCCAGGCACCTGCCACAAACAAGACAGGTGTAAAGGGATGCTCAGTTGCAAGCACCCAACCAAAAATCACCCACACTCAATGGAACAAACCACTCGGTATCAAAAACGTTGCTACACGACCAGGTGCGGCAGCGAAACAGCCAGGTACTAAGACACTCCCAGCACAACACTCGATCCCTCACTCGTCTCGACTGCATGCACAAGGACCAAACAAGGGCCGCGCGCGCCCTTACAACCGCCACAGAACCGGAAGCACAGCTTGTTGCGTCACTGCTGCTGCCCTGGCGCCGTGATGACCTCCAAGCCCCCCAGGAATGGCCGCAGCACCTCAGGCACCACCACGCTGCCGTCCTCCTGCTGGTTGTTCTCCAGAATGGCCACAATCATCCGCGGCACCGCGCACGCCGTCGCGTTGAGCGTGTGGCAGAAGGCCGTCGCGCCGCCGCCGCCCTTGCCGCCCTTGCCGCCCTTGCCGGGCGCCTGCTGCTGCTGCTGCCCGCTGGCGGGGCGGTACCTGGGAGAAGTTCGCCGGGTCGCAGGAGCGGGGACGGAATGGGCGAGGGCGCCTCGACGGCAAACAGCAGACTTTGTGCTTCGCACGGCAGAGCGCTCGCAGGCGTGCCCCTCCCCGTCCCCGTCCCCTTGCAACAACCTGGCGGGCGCCACAGCAAGACCAGTGACCTCTGACAATGACTTTGGGAGGAACCCCGGGCCACCCAGACGCGACACTGGCCAGGCATGAACTGCCCCACCACAACGGCCCATCCCAAAGTTCACAACGCTGGCCCCCGCCGCCCCACCTGATGTTGAGCCGCCGCGCCTGGTAGTCGGTGCAGTTCGAGGCCGAGCTGATCTCGCCGTACCGCCCCAGGCCGGGCATCCAGGCCTCCACGTCGAACTTGCGGTACGCCGGAGCCCCCAGGTCGCCCGATGGCATGTCCAGGATCTAGGGGTTGCGGATGGGCGGGGCGATCGGTTGCCGATGGGTCGCGTTGACACAGGCCTGGCGCGAGACACGTGAACTGACCTTCAGCGCTTTGGCCTCAAAGCCACTGCTCTGCCACGACCGAGGCGCACTCTGTTGGGCGCGGCAAAGAGCCGCACCCAGCGCCCCGCCGCCGATGCTGCGCGCCACAAACAGTGGTCCATGCGCCATGCCCCACGCAACATATGCCCTCGCAAACCTCACGTCGTGCGACTGCAGCCCGAGCGCAGCAAAAATCCAAACGGCACAGCGTCGCATCCACTCCCGCACTCTCACACACGCGATAAACCCAGACACCACCGTCCACAGTTTGTCCCAAAGCGTGCTGGCCCCGATCCCCCCTCCCCATTACACACACTCACACACGTGACCAAACCCCCCACCCCCCACCTTGAAGTGCAGCCCCAGCTCCTCAAACATGGCCGCCTCCAGGTCTATGAGTTCCTGGTGCAGCGCGTCACTCTGGTGGGGGGCGCACACCACAAACATCTCCACCTTGCTGAACTGGTGCACGCGGTACAGCCCCTTGCCTGGCGCGGCGCGGCAGCGGCGAGGCAGGGACGGTGGGTGGAGGCGGGGAGAGG